AAACAGGGAACGGGGCAGAGGCTGGGCTCCCCGGAGCACGTCTTACAGAAGAACAGCGTCTGAGTTTTGGCCTTCTGCTCCTCCTCTTCCTCGCCTTCCTCCCTGAGGGGCGTGGCCCCGCCCCCCGGAGGCTCCGCCCCCTCCGTCCTCGGCCTCTTAGGCCCCGCCCCCTCCTCCTCCTCCTCCTCCTCCTCTTTCTTCCTCTTGCGGCGGCAGCAGACCCTGCATTCGGAGCCCGTTTCCCTCTTTCCTGGAAAATGGCGCCCGGTGAGGCGCGCCGGCACGCCATTGGCCGATCGCAAATCCTCCGGGTTTTCGCCGGGACCCAGTCTGGGGCCGTCGGGCAGAGCTGGGGTTAAATGGTTGAAAACGGAGAGTTCAATTATTAATCCTCAAACAGTAAAGAATGAAAAAAAAAAAGTGCTTTTTTTTGTTTTTGTTTTTTTTGTTTTTGGGTGTCAAAACTTAAAGGAGACATATTATACCCTATTTCAACAAGTTAAGCTAGTTCCCTGGTGTCCTAATGCAGTGTTTTTCAACCACTGTGCCATGGTACAGAGTGATGGTCAGGTGTGTGTAGAAAATCATCCTATTTCACCTCATTGGTCTAAAAAGACTTTTTTATCTGCAAATAATATTCCATTTTTGAGTGTCTGTGCTGTACTAGTGACTGGTGGAGTAATCATGTAATAATTCCCTATGACTAGATTTTATATATAATTTTGTATATTGAAGTGGACATGTTAAGTGCAATTTGAAAGAAGAAATATAAAATATGATAAAAATACATTTTTGTGTTTAATTGATTCCTATTCAAGACACTTAAGATAAGATAAGAATAAAATAAGAATAACTATAGTGTTACTATAGGCGGATACAGATTTGTTTGACATTTTTGGTTGGTGTGCCTCGTGATTTTTTCAATGAAAAAATGTACCTTGGCTCAAAAAAGGTTGAAAAACACTGGACTAATGTAATGTCTGTGACAAGTTTTGGTCCAAACGCTACCATGCTAACGCTACCATGCTAACGCCACCATGCTAACGCTACCATGCTAACGCTCACGCTACCATAGATAGGGGAGTGAGCTGAGGGGGGGGGGGCAACATGCATTGGGGTGTTTACATACAGATGTGCCACTAAATGAGTCATCTTTATACTTTGTACTCTGTATGTTATTGTTTTGAAAAATGTTCAATAAATATAAACACATATAAATATAAAAAACAGGCTCATATCAACCCTGACCCTCCAGGCCCCCGGGGGCAGCAGACAGATGTGTGTAACACCTGTTTCCACTAGAGGAAATCTTGTCCCGTCCCACTCCCAGACCAAAGTTTAAAAAATAATCCCATCCCATCCCATCCCGCTCCTGTTTAAACTCACTCCTGTACCGCTCCCATATATATTTTTTCTTCCATTAGCATTTACTCTTACAAGCAGCGTACATCGTGCTAGCACCGTCACATTCTACTCTCATAAACTCATATAATATTTCAGAGTTTCCGACCAGTTCTGTGGACTTAATAGACATGTCATTACTTCTGACTTTGCGCTGTAAATCAGTTTTTTTAGCTCCCCCCATCACTGCTCTTTGAATTCCGGCGGTTAGCCGTGACAAAAAGCCCTGATGGCTTCTGGGACGGCTGGGTCATGTAGTTATTTTTTAATTGCGTTACATTGTAGGCATATTGAAAGGAAACTACAAAATGGTGCATTTCCTTTTCTTTCCGTCTTTGCTATTGGTTGATTCCCGCTCCCGTTAACCATTTATCCTACCGTCCAAATCCTGGATTAATAGCAAAGATGACTCCCATCCTGCAGGAATCCCACGGGAATCCCGTGATATTCCCGTGGGATTCCCGAAAAAATGTCAGCCTCTAGTTCCCGTCCCCCGGGGTTCCCTGTGTGTTGTTATGTTTATGTTTATATTTATATTTATGTTTTGTGGCGTTTACCTGTCTGCAGCTGGCAGCTGACCCCCTGGTCGGCGGTCAGCGGGCGGCACAGGATGGATTTGTTTTTCATCTGTCGTCGCCGTGGCGACGGAAGACCCGTGGCGTCCGTCTGAGTGCTGGCCTGAACCAAAACAGGAAACGGAGGTAAACCTCACAGATCTGTTATGTTTCTTATGTTTATGTTACAGAGGCTGCCCCCCCCTCACAGACACCCCCCACTCTGCTGTTATGGGCTGAGAAGTCATTGGATAAAGTAAAAATCCACTTTTTTAGATTAAAAAAAGACTAAACTAAACATAAAAGGCAAACGGACTCCTGGTTTTTGATTCCAATAGAAATTCTGCTTTCAATCCAAAAGTAAAATGAAAATTATAACTTGCAAAGTCCAGTCTAGGCAGCGGGAGGTGACAACCAAAAACAACCAAAAATAATTCAAACAAGCAGCAAAATAACCAAAAATTAGTGGAAGGAGCAGCAAAACAATAAAAAATAAGTGGAAAAAGCTGAAAACAACCAAAAATAAGTAAAACAACCGGAAAAACAACCAAACATAACTAAAACAAGCAGAAAAACAACCAAAAATGAGTGGAAGAAGCAGCAAAACAATGAAAAATGAGTGGAAAAAGCAGAAAAATGCTGAAAAATAATTAATAGAAGCAGCAAAACAACCAAAAATAAGTGGAAAAAGCAGAAAAACAACTGAATATAAGTAAAACAAGCAGCAAAATCACAGGATTTGGAAGTAAAAACATGACGGATGCACAAATGTCCCAGTAAACAGAAAATACGGGGACGGTACATACATGGTCCAGGTTTTTCCCGTCCACGTTGGAGGTGGGAAGTGCTCCTATGAAACAGGAAAATAAACCCAGTGTGAGACAATAAATTGACTAAACGGAGCAAAAATTATTAATGACTGATTAATAAGCGACTATATTCAGAGTAAAGCAATCTGCATGGCGCTAAAACAACAAAATATTATTAAAAACTAAGAGTTTATTAAGAAAACAGTTATAATTGTATCTACTTAACAAAAACTAACAGAAAATACAAGCAGGAATACAGAGAAATAAAACACAAAAGCAGATGAGAGAACATGTCGCCGGTGAGACGCAAGTCCAGGAAAATCGGAATAAGGTAGAAACACATTTTTTTTCCTGATGAAAGAAGAGAGTCTACTCTTTCTTTTGGTGTGTTCCG